AGACAGTGATGGTGAACCTATGACACGCGTGTCAGAGGTGACACGCGAACTCATTTTTTTTGGTTGATTTTTCTTTGTTAAATGGCATTTAAATATATAAAATAAATATCAAAAATATAAGTCTTTGTTTTACTATGGTTGCAAATATCAAAAAATTTCTATATGTGACACAGCACCAGAGTTAAGTTAGGGTTTTTCAAAATGCTGACACGCCGAGCTCAAAAGGTTCGCCATCACTGTGCTAGGCTAATGCTGGCTCACTTATTTGCTGAATGGATGAATGAATTTCAGTAATTCAAACACACAGTCCTCGGAAGTAAGTAGAAGAACCAGAATCCATCTCCCACGTAGTTGAGTTCTTTCACATCTGATCTAACATGGTCAGGTGAGTCTCCTATGTCTACTTACCATACCTAAAAGGATCTTCTGGTGGGCAACTGTCACAGGTAATTTATTCAGGATATGGATTAAGATCCCAAAGAGAAATGAAAAGGGTCTTTAAAGCAGCTAAAATCCATGTCTAAAACTCATATATTTAATTCATAGCAAACTCTGCCAGGTTTTTTGTTTTTGTTTTTTTTTCTGCGTCGGCTGCTTTATTTAAGGACTGGTGACTAACAGTTCCCAACCCAGCCCCTTCCTCCTCTATAAAAGCAACTATACATGAACCAGGGCCCCCCGTGCCAGGGCCCAGCCAGGGGCCAGTGGTGCTGAATCCCAGGCCACAGTCCTTGGAAGGCAGAGGAGGCGTGCAGTCCAGTTCACACGGGGCAAGGTGCTGGGGAGGTGGGTGAGGAGGCGGAGAGTCCTGAGGCTGTCTCTGCTGGGCTTGCCCTCACCCAGGATGCCAGGACATTGGCCCCCGGAGAAGCCAGGGCTTCAGAGCCAGGGGGTCAGGGGCCGAAAGAGGGAGCAAGTCAAAGGCTTTTGGAGCCAAGGGAGGCAGTTCAAACCCCCGGAGCTCCCTGCCCATGAGCACACCCCCATGGCCACACTGAGTCTACTCTTAGTTTACACACAATTTGGATAGGATTGGCATTAGTCTTCCTGTTTCCCAGATTAAAAGCCAAGAGGGTACAAAAGGGTTGTTATAGATAGGTAAACTAACTGAAGGCAGCGAGGAATAATATCTGATAAAGAGGTAGTGTGGTACAGAGTTTAAGAACACTGGCTTTAAAATCTGGGGCAATCTAAGCAACAACATGAATAATGACAGCAATGGATTACAACCCACTGAGTAAAATAAGATTTCAGGAGTCCATATTGAAAATAATAAGTCAAAGGGGGAGAAGGGAAAACTCTTCCTTACTGTAGAAAGTAATAAATGTAGACAGAAGGATGAAATTAGAAAATCATCATTTTGCAATGTCATTATTATCAGGGATAACAAGAGTATCTAGTTCACATGGCTGTGTTAATCTATGTAAAGTGTTTAGAATAGGGACTGACATATAATAAGTGCTCAACAAATGTTAGTTATTACTTCTATGTACCTGGCCCTGTGGTTAGGCTGTGGGGAAATCAAGAGAAGTATGAATAAGACACTTAAATTGGGAAGACAGTATGCCATTTTATAATAAGCATAGAGACTTGGGTTCAAATCAAAACTTTATCATTTACTGACTATGGTTTTGGACAACTAAGTACACCTCTGAAGACCCCATTTCCTTACCAGAATAATGCAGATAATGATGCCTCCCTTGTAGGTTGAGATAAGTATGTAAAACTCCATGGTGCCTAGCACATAGAAGGAGTTGCACAAATATGAGCTCTCATCCCTTTGTTCATATAATCCTAGTGATAATAACTTGAATCTGGGCCAAAGTACACACCAGATTTGTACTTGACCAGCCCCAGGATTCATGCTGATATAGCCCTATATTAAGAAGGCAGCTCTTCTATATTCTGCACAAGTTAGCTTGCTTTAAAATCTAAGACAGAAGGGTTTGTCGATCTAAACTCAAAGGGACATAATTTGGTTAATCCTCAGCTGTTGTATCCAATCATTGTTCAATCACACTCCCTTCCATGGCAGGCTGTCCCTCCAGGCAGGTAGTGTCACTAACTGTGCTACCTGGGCCTCTTCAGGTTCATGAGTATTGATTCTATCTGTCCAATTTGCAGGCTGTAAGACGTGTCCAAGCAACCAAGTATGCTGTCCTTGGCCCCGGAGGGCAGACAGTGGTCTGGCAGGATGGGGAGAGGAGAGTGACTAGACTCAGCCCTGGGGCTGCTAATACAATCAAAGGGAATGGGCAATTCACTTCACAAACTTGAAGGCCAAAGAGGGTAAGCATCTAAGCTAGTAACTCCTTCTGCAACCTCAGAGAAGATTCCCTTCACTTTTAATAAAACTCAAAAGACAGCAGACCCACTGTGGGATAGAGCTAGGATTAATGGAACCGTGGCTGCTCGGTGGCCAAGAGTGGCACCAAACACCTTGCCAGATGGCTAGTAGGCTTTTCATTTAACAGCCATCACGTACATCCAACCCAGAGCTCCACAGGGATCAGGCCATTCTTGGAGAAGCCAGACCAGATCAGGCTGGAGGGCTACATGACTATGATGAATTTTGGTGACCAAAAGAACTTCATGGACCTGTGGGCTGCAACAGGGCAGAAACAGAGTAGGAAACTAGCCAGGTGAGAGAAAGCTAAGGAAGGCTTGGAGTGCCAAGAATTTCATTGTCAAAATAGAACCAAGGGGACAAAAACCAGGCAGCAGAGATGTGAATCAGAGAGTCAGAAGCCAAGTCAGACGGCAAGGACTGGAGACTGAGGCAAAAATAGTAAACCACAAAGTAAGGAATCAGAAACCAAGAAATACACTGGTACCATAGGGCAAGGCAAACGAAGCAGTAACCTGGAGCAGTAGTGAGGAGGCTGGGAATGAAGTGATTTCTGCCTCTTTGATATTTTTTTGCTGAAGTAGAAACAAATCCCCAAATTTAGAATTGCTTTTTGGAGAAGGTGAATTCCATGGGGAGATGGTGAGCTGGCCCACCTGGATGAGAAGAGGAGTACAGGGTCAGCCATAAAATTAGAATCTGACATCACAGAGGGAGGCAGGCCCTGCTATTCAAGGTGATTCACCAGAGGACAACTGCAGCCTCCCCTCTGTTCTGGTGCTGGCATACTGGTTGACATTTTGTAGTTTAGGCACTATGCCTTAAATTTAAGTAGCTGGTACCAAATGGGCTATAGTGTATGAGCTAGGCCGTCATAGTTTTAACAGCTGGATTAAAGGGGGCAGAGAACACCATGAAAACATCTCCACTCAAAGGAACTATACTGACTACTCCACAGATATTCACTGAGCAAAGGCTTAAGAATATTTCTCCAGCCAACTCTGGTGTTCTGTGAAAAGATGCCTACCAATGCCAATATCAACCTCAAAGGCTAGAGATAATATCCAGATGCACTATTTCCCTTACTAACTGGAGAAATAAAAAAATGTTTATAGCAGCCCAAGAGAATGGGGGTCTGTCCTTATAGTGATTTGGCTCTAGCACCAGTGCTTGCCTTCGTGTGGCCATCAGAATCTGTTCTGTTCTTATCTCCCCATGAATTGACCCACCAAAAGGACTGAGCCTTGCAAACATTGAAGGTGAAGTTTGTGGGGGACAGATACACTAAGCTGACAGGCTCGCAGTGGAGCAGCAACAGGACAAAGCTAGCCATGCTGGAGCTGGGGACAGGCAGACAGGAGAATGCAGGTCCAGAGAGCCCAAGACCTCAGCAAGTTACACGTGTGAGTAGGATCGGTAAGCTTTGATTCTAGGCTGAGAGCTATTTTCTCTCTGCCTTATTTCTACTGCCTGCTGGTACAAGTAAATATTTTCTCAAGGGTATAGTGTATGGCTAAGTAAGAGGAAGACAGTAATCTAATAATGAAAGCTGACATTTGTATACACTTGTTATATGCCAGGTGTTATTTTAAACACTATATATATTTTAACACATTTAATCTTCACAACAACCCTATGAGGTAGGTTACACATAAGAAAACTGAAGCACTAAGAGGTTAAGTAACTTGTCCAAAGTCATTCAGCTGGAAGAGGTGGAGGTGGGATCAAACCTGGCAGTCTTTCTACAAAGTCCATGTTCTTATCATCTGCTATATTGCCTCTCACTTTCCTATATTGACTCCCAGGTAGCTGTCTGTAGAAGCACTTTGTCTCAACTCAGTTTTCAGCAACCCAAGAGAAAAATTAGGCAAACTTATAGTCAATTCCCAGAGGAGAAAACAAACAAACAAAAAGTATATTAAGAGATAGCCTCAAGCTCATTTGTTATTAGATAAATGCAAATTAAAATGAGATATC